CATGCTCAGTAGGTCAGACATCAAAGACAGATGGAACCCTGGTTTAAGTTCATAACTAGCATATCTTCTACCACCAGTTCCAACATCATATAAGACAAGATTCGGAAGGTCAGTGGGAGGTATTCCTTCCATCTTGCTCTCGAATGGCCAGGAAGTTGCTGAAATACAGAACATCATTGATACTCTCGGTGAGAGCTTTTCTCATGCATCCAGCACTTCTGTTTCTTCTTCCACCTTCTTTCTATCAAGTCTCGGGCAGAGCAATCGCCTCTTTTCTTTTGGACCAATCGTCTCTATAACTATAATCGCCCCCTTACATTGGTGGAACTCAAACTTGCTCTTCTTTGATTTGGCAGTACATCAGTTGGACCTGATGATGTTCACTATAAGATGCTGCACCATCTCTCTCCTGCCTCTCTTGCTCTTCTTCTGGTTGTTTTTAACCAGATCTGGCAGGAGAACATTTTTGCCAATGCTTTGTGCCGGGCTATTGTCCTCACTTTCTCTAAGCCTAGGAAGGATCCCAAGATTCCTACTAATTATTATCCAATTGCTTTGACTAGCTGTCTGTAAGATCTTAGGGGGGATGGTTAATGCTCATCTTTTTTGGTTCCTCGAATCAAACAACCTCCTCTCGCCCACCCAGTGTGGGTTCTGTCAACAGCTCTTCACTGTGGACCACCTGATTCTACTTGAAACCTTGATCAGGAAAGTCTTTCTCAAGAGAGAACATCTTGTTTCTGTTTTCTTCTATCTTGAGAAGGCTTACGACACTACGTGGAGGTACAACATTTTGCGGGACCTCCACTCATATGGGTTGCATGGCCAGCTACCCATTTTTATTCAGAACTTTTTTACTCAACAGGTGATTCTGAGTCCATATGGGTTTGACACTTTTTTTGTTCTTTCACACAGGAACTTGGAGTCCCTCAGGGCTGTGTGACACACTTTTCAGTATCAAGATCAATGCTATCACTGCACAACTTCCACATCTCATATCAGTCATCGAACATGAGGCTTATTGAGCGGTAGCTTCAGACTGCCCTCAATCGTTTGTTGAAGTGGACCACAGCAAACGGTTTTACCTTTTCTTTTTTCAAAACCGTTTGCATGTATTTTTGCCACCAACATGGTCTACACCTCTATATCGAGCTCCTTCTCTGTGATGTTGTTCTTTCAGTGGTCCCTGAGCAAAGTTCTTGGAGCTTATCTTTGACCATAAGCTTACTTTCATTCCTCACATAAAGCAGCTATGTCTCATGTGTACTGAATATCCTCCGTGTCCTCTCTTCCACCTCATGGGAAGCTTATCAATGTTCTATGCTCAAGATCTATCGTGCCCTTATTTGATCCAAACTGGACTATTGGTCTGTGATTCTGCCAGGACCTCAGCCTTGAAGATGCTGGACCCCATTCACCATCTGGGGCTTCAGCTCGGCATGGGGCTTTCCGCATTTCTCCAGTCCAGAGTTTGTACACCGAGTCCCACAAACCTACTATTCACCTCTGCCATTTTCAACTTTCTCTACAGTATGCTACCCAGCTTTGATCCTTACCACAACATCCCACTTGGGATTGTGTCTTTCTTCCTCGGTGGGCTGTGGTCTTTCAGAACAGATGGTCTGCATTTTCTACCTGTGGCATTCGTATCCAGGCACAACTGGATGAATTGGGTCTAGCATTGGATGGCATTGCTATCCATAATTATCAGCCCATTCTATCATGGCTTATTACCATCCTTGAATGTGGCCACTTCTTGAGTCATCTGAGAAAGACGGATACTCCCGATTGGAAGTACCATCTTCTCTTTGCTGAACATCTTTCGAACCATTCTTCTATTCCCATTTATACAGATTAGCAAATCCCTTGAGCATTTCACTCAGTTCCTGTTTCTTTGTGAAGTTGAAATTATTAGCATAAATCTTAAATTAGAAACCTCTAGTTCTTGGAAAGTTAGTCTTTCATTGTTGGATGTTCTACAGTGGTTGTAACACTAGCTGCATCTGTAACATTACTGATAACCATTTCAATGTGAGGCTGAATAACCAAATGTCCTTCAGCATTCAAACAGATGGCTGTTTGAACAAGTACAGCCATATTCTAAACAAAAGTTTTGTTTCTCTTGCATCATTTCCCTAACTTCCAGGACAATACTGCAGATATTTTGGCTACTGTGTGGTTTTTTTCCAGTAGTAACTGTTTCTTTCTCTTTCATTAATTATTTGATTATCAATTATTCTGTTTTGAAATGGAGGAAACATTGGTAATGATAATGTTTACTCTGTGAAACTTGAAACCTTAACCCCAATATATGTTCTCTATCTTGGTATATCCATAAATATATTTATATATGTATGTTACAATTATATAATTTTTATCCAATTTATGAGCTTAAAACAAAATGTACCTTTAAAACATAATACTTGCATAAGAAAGCAAACAGAAACATTTATGATTTAAAAAGGACTAGAAAACTTCCTTATCCAAAATTTTGTTATGAAAATGATAGTTTAAATCTATTTTCAAATCATATCTAATAATAATGCTAAGTCAGCTTAATAATTTGTTTTCCAGGTTTGGAAATATACTTAACAGATTGTTTTATTATTTATGCCTTCAATTTTAATGCTTGGATTTTATATTTATATTTTGATAAGTGTGTCATTGTATATGTCATACATTGTTATATGTAACACTATATTTGCAGAGCTCACACTTCAACTTACTTATATAATCTTGTTATTTTTATAATTACTACTACTACTACTACTGTGTAAATGCACTGTATTTGTGTCTCAGATTGCTTCTAACTGGTCACTACTATTTATATGTAATTGAAGGTTTGCTGGCTGTTCTGAAACATTTTCTATTATAGTGTAATACAGTATTCAAGCCTAAGTTCATATTCTTGTTGCATATGATCTACTTTGTCATACATAATGCTGTTGTGATATTTTGTTCTACTTCAGTGGTAATTAAATAGTAGTTTTATAAAGGGTTAATTGCACTTCAGAAAGACATTTCCTATGTGCTAATACAGTACTTTGTCGCAGTAGTTAATGAGCTGTTGTACTGTGAATGACATGTTTATCATCTATGTATTTGGTTTCTGGCCAAATTCCAACCATTTATCAGTGATTGCCTGAAGGAATGTGTCACAGCTCTTCATGAAGAAGGATATTTTTATAGTGATATTGTTAAACAATGTATAGCCAAAAACATGATGTTTTGAAGAAGAAAGCCTTTAGTGTTCTCCATTAAAGTGGAAAAACTGGCACAGCAGAGTGTTAGGACAACAACAAACTACAAAACTACACCCCAAGCCAGTTGGAAGCTCATGTGCGGTGTGAAGGCTGTGCGTATGAAAGAGAACCATCTGACTCATAAAGCCACTGTAATGAAGTTGATCATATTTTCTGGATAATAAAGAATTGAACTTGACCAAGGCTTACAAGACAAAAGTGTACAGGCTTCAAGCAACATCTCAAAATCATGATTGGGTTTATCAGAAATGTGATGTAAGGAAGAAATAACAACAGCCTCATTAAATCATATACATTGTAAAGCTCCAAATGCAACTTCAATGGACTTTTGTATTTGCAGTCTACTTTTAATATAGTTTTGGAAGTTTGAATTCACACATAGTGGAAAATCTTTTGAAAGTTTGTCAAGATAGTTGTCTAAGGTTGACTTCAAAATTCTTGATGGATTCTTGTTCATGAGGAAAATTGTGTTGTGTAGTACTAAATAATCAGACTGAGCACAATTGGCATTAGAGAAAGTATTTCCAAGGATAGCATGGGCCCTGAAACATTCATTTCAAGTGTGGTTAATCCTCATTATTGTTTGGCACTTGTGATTGCTAGGAAATGTTACATCCCGAAAGAGCCTGCTTTAAGCCTCTCACTGTGGGTAGGTTAGTGTGCATGTCACAACTTTTTAAAGAGTTACATTCAAAATTTAATTAAACTACTTTCTTATCAATATGCATGAATAAAGTTGGCATCAAAACATAATTAGTAAATCAAATTTTAACATTATATATAATTTATAGGGAAATATTTTAAAAATTCTCGATCTCCCCTAGTATGAGAATTTTGACATCTGTTTTCTAAGTTCTCCCTCTTTAATTTATTTACCACCCCTCTTAGAATTATATTCTCCAGCTGCTTGAAATATGCAATATGGTTGAATGGGGGAAGTATGACTGGAAGACTTATCTTGGTGAACCAATACCCACTTACCTTGTTTCCAGAAGAAAATATGTCTTTGTTTTGATTGTGTACTGTTGCCTGGGGCATGTGGATGGATTTTATCACTGACCTTTGTGATCATGGACTCTCACCAGTTACAAGAAGCCATCCTTTTCTACCGTGGTTGGTGTATGACTAGTTGTAGGTCTCTTTTTGGTTGATCCTGATGCTCCAAGTTGATACATTTTCCTTGTTTTCCATTGTTTTGTGAAGTTCTAAATCCCCAGTCTGAGCACATCTTTGTGATCTGAGTGTTTAAATATTCAAATATTGGAAAGAGCTATTACATACCCTTCTAAAAAGCAATCAGTTTTAAGTGGCATCACACTTCCTATGAAACCTCAAACAGTGTCAAAAGTTTAGTTCTAATATTTTCTATTTCACCACAACTTTACATTGGATGTGGTTGTCACATGACTTGCTGATTTGAATATTTGGAATAGTTTTCATATAAAGTACTCAATCCTGTAGAAGCTTGGATGTGCAACTTTTCTTTCGTTCTGTATCTCATCCCATTTCCATGAAAAAAATTCTCTGTATTCATATTAGGTTAGGTTGTGTTCTAAAAGAAAGTATGAACTGTGTTACGATCATTATTACCCCTAATTGCATATGAATTAGCTTATATTATGGTAAGCCAAGTATAATTTCACTGTAAACCTGTTATTAAAACAAATTGTGTGTACATACACACACACATGTGTACTTTTTGATATTTACTAATAAGATTATCTTTATAATTTACAGACTTATTCAACTTGAAAACTTGTATGAAACTCACTGTAAACAACAAACAACATGCCAGAATGAAATCCTTGCAGCTGAGAAACACATTAAAGAGCTTGAAATAGAAAAACCAGTCTTGTCAGAGAAGTTTAGGTTTTACCAGGAGATGAGGAACTACATTAAAGATCTTGAAGAGTGTTTGGATATCAAAGTGAGAATAAAACCTAATTTTCCATCTCTATGGATAAAAAAAATTATTTTTTAAAGGTTGTAATGTTTTACTGAGATTGTTAATTTATATGTGGTGTTTTAACCCTACTCACCCAAGTGGGTCAAAGTGCATGTCACAACTTTTTTATAGTTACATTAAACAACTTTACCATCAATGTATGTCAATAAACTTGGCATTAAAACTTAATTATGAATCAAAATTTAATATTATGTAAGTTTTAATTTCTTGATTTCAAAAAGATATATTTAAATAAATTTCACTTTTCATTTATCTGCATCATGAAACACTTCTTTACTCCATATTGCTGCTTTAAATTTTCTTTCTACCCTATATTATCTTTTGAGTTGAGCTCAAATTACAGACTTATATTACAGATATTGTTAAGCCGTAATATAAATTTCTAGCCTTCAAGCTTCTTGCTTTACTGTGATATAAACAAAAACTATATAAACTATTGGCTCCTGTTGTGATTTATTGCTTTTCTACAAATTAGTGCATCTAAAGAATAGTGATAAAACCATAAAATTAGAAAAAGCAGATGTGAAAAGTTTAGAAGTTAAGGCAGTTAGAATAGATAATTTGTAATTGTCTCTACTCATTCAGCTCATTCCAGAAAAAAGGGCATTATTGGTTTTATTTTATATTTTTCAACTTTTCATTTTGTTACATTGCTGAGTTTCATGCATTTAATGTTACAGTAGAAAAAATTACAGATAAAATATAAAGTCTTACTAAAAAAAATTTTGATATTCCTGTAGGAGGTTTTAAAGGCTATGCAAATGAAATATGAAAACTAAAATAAAACTAGTTTTATTCTTAACATGAAAATTACTGTGCACTCAGAATAGTCAGAGTTTGAGTCAGACTGAATTTGTAAATTTCCAAATAAATCTTTAGTAAAAATACTTCATTAAAAAAAATCAAATTTTTGTGACAACAGGCTTGTATAGTTCACTAAAAGCTTGCCAAATTTTGTGAAGATACAAGCAGTAAATTCAGGATAGAGTAAATATTAATTCTCCAGTAGGAGTTCAATCCAAAGGACTGACTCTGTACACATTGGGTTAAAGTTTGTTTTTGTTGTTGTTTTTTACATTTTAGTTACCTCAAGTAACTGCACTTGAAACAAAAATACACAATCTTCTTAAAAAGCGTGCACAATGGCTTGTAGAACGTCGACACCAAGATGTCAAGGATGAAGCTGAGGAGTATTCTACCATGTTTAGTAAGTGTGTTAGTTTAACTACTACTGAAGAGTATTCTACATTCAGCAAATGTTCAGTTAAACTACTGGTAAAAAATAATTTACCATTATGGTTTCAATATTAAACAGTAGCAAATAACTGGAAACCAATAGATCAAATATCCATGATGAAATTATATTAGTACCAGCGAACCTGTCGGCTTATAGCCCACATTTACAGGGCCACAATAATGCAATATCAATTTCTTTACCCAAGTTATGAATGGTAATTATTAAGCCTACTTATTTACATGCTTTAACATAAATCAATGCCAAATTTGGTGGCTGCTTTTGGGGAATCCCCATAAAAGTGTTTTTGTGAAATACCTGGGTTCCTTAAGGGATTGGGTGAAAAGCTTTACCTTTGTGCAAACCTTGAGGCCGAGACTATTTGTTTGCACCATTTAGAAGTTGGTGTTGGTGAGTCCAGCAGTTTAAGAGAAGGTTTTTATGGAAATCTCCTGGTTTCCCAAGGAGTGGAATGAAAATTTTTAGAAGTCGGTGCAACCAGTGGTTTAGGAGGACTTACAGGATGCACAGACAAGCACATACAGAATCTTATTATATATAGGTATTTTTTGTCCACATTTTTCTTCATATCTTAATTACAGATTTCAAATCAAAAATTCAAATAAAACTAGTATTTCAGATCTGTATTTTGTCTGCAAAAAGCTGTTGACCATTATCCTTTTGTTTGGTTTCAGAACTTTTTAACCAGTCTAGACAATGAGAGAGAAAATTTTATCATGAATATTATGCCTACTGTTTTCTAATGCCTCACCATCATTTGATATTCATAATGTAACTATTGTTACATGTATGTATGTATATAAATGGTTTTTAGTAAAGTTTTATTTCATCATCGTCCAACCCAGCTGACAAAAAACTCTGAAATACTATTTTCACACATCTCTGATTCGAAATTTGTAATGAGCAAATTAAGAGGAATGTAAATTAAAATGCAGCCTGATACTATTCTTCTGTGGTTATTAATAAGTGCACACTTTAACTTCTGACATTTCTAGCATAACTTCAGCAGTGAAGTAAGCTTACTGAAAGAGTGTGTGTGTGTGTGTATGTATAAATCTGTTCTTGAGTTGTAGAACTGCAAAATTTAATTTGGTCTCCTATTAATGGACATGTAGACTTTTTCCTCTCATTTTTAAATCAATTATACTATATATATATATATATATATATATACTGTAAAGAATATAAACTTTTAAGTGTTAAAATGTTTCTTTATAAGCTAAGACTCTTCGAGGCCCCAGTTTAGCAGTACAGAGTGATAAACCTAACATCTTTGATGAAACTAAACTGCTGCGTAAAGCTGAAAGAGAAGGTCGTAGGTGAGTTAGTTTTTTATGACAAGTAATTACATGATTTTGCAGTGATTCTTATTGTTTTTATGAAGTTTTGCTAAGTAACACCATTGTTTCTTTGTGTATGTTGGAAGTTATACAAGATCTTAAAAATTTAAGTTTATTTTGAATTATCGATATATCTAATAAAAAACCTGATGAAATGTTGTTTTTTTTGTTTTCATGTTTTTGTTCTAGTTTGTTGTTTCTAGATTTTAATGTGTGTGTTAAGAATATAATATATACCAAAAATCCAGCCTAGTCATTTGCCTCACAACAAAATATTTGGCTGTTGAATAGTTGATGTATTTATTTAAACAGTTCATTTGTTTCACAAGGTACTGGAGACTGGAAAATATCAGTAAATATGGAAAAAGGTGAACTTATTACAGACTCAATATAATTCAATAACAATATTTAACAAAGAATTGTATAATAATTCTAGGTGAATACTCATAATCATCCCAGTCTGGTGTCTTCATTTGCTAGTAATGGTATTTTAGAGAGATGAAGAACATTTTATGAACAGTCATTTTTCTGGACACATCCAGTGTTTCTTTAAATCACGACCTATATACAGCTCTCAATATATATATTTGAGATTTATATTATGTCAGCGAGTGTTGTCTCAACAATAGTCAGTAAACAAGGCATGTACAGGCTTGTCTACAGTGAATTCTGAGAAACTGAATTAGGAAGTTATTCAGTAATAACCTTTGTTTTCAGTAATTGTCTTGAATGATTTAAATAAACAAAAAGGGCACCGTGTGGGATCCCTTTGAAGTAGTTAGTAACTTAAAGTGAAGTGCAAATTGTGTAGAGTATTAATTTCATGTGGTGACAAAGGGAATGCAGCTTCTAGTAGTCTAGTGTACAATCACATGAAAAATAAGTATGCTCAAGGCCACAAGAAATTGCAACAAACTTCAGAGTCTACTAGATATAATATTGAAGGAAATGGTGTGGCCTAAGGTTTTGGGGTGTTAAACTATGAAATAAACATCCATACTCAATCATTACTATTCAGGGTTGTTTTTGTTGTTTTTTTCCGCTTGAAGAAAACACAACTATAGTACAAGTTACAAAGCATTACTTATTTTTGTTAAAAAATTGTCCCAGGTATATATCTAAGAAAGAGTTGAGACTCGTTTCTAGCCAGATATTGGATGTGAATGTCATTTCTCCAAAAGAATATCTAGTCATGTTGAGCAACAAGCAACAGTTTCAATTGTTTCATAGGACACTATGTCACAGAAAATATGAACTTGCAACAAGATATTCTTAACCCTATTTCCCCCATCTCCATTTTTAAATTACTTTCTGCATATGTACTGTTACATTCAAAATCTGATTAAACCACTTTATTTTCAATATATATATATATATATATATATATATATATATATATATATACACACACACACACACACATATACTTAAGTTATTACTTTACTTTACTAACGTTAAAACGTTAAAAACTTAAACTTAAACTTAACTATATATATATATATTAATAACTA